GCTCTACCACTGAACTACATTCCCAGCTCCTAGAAAATAGCCTTCTTTTCAGTGCATACCATGAGATGTTGAGACATCCCTATTGGTTCCAGCCTGGGCCTTGAGCCTCCAACACCGGCCCCCTGCTGCCTGGTGGGCCTGCCGTCCAGGTAGGAGGCCCTGCAGCGAGCAAGTCAGACCTAGACTCCCCAGGCTGAGCCCCGCTGGGCCTTCTAACCTCGACCCCCGCTGGGCAGGGAAAAGGCCTTGGGAAGACGCAGGCCTCTTAACTCAGGCAGGTGCCCACTCCAGCCTGTCTTGAGTGGGGCCTACTGCTTTGCTCCCAAGGGCATGGCCCTGCCACGCTGGTTGCCACCTCGGGTTGGGGTTCTGGAATGGCGGGGTGCTAGATGAGCACTGGGCATCTGTCTCAAGGGTTTGGAAACACTGTTACTCTGCTCTCCTTTGTGGAACTTGGTTTTCCCTTCTGCAGGCTGGGTGCAACTGTGCCTGATCCCCCTCAGTGCTGATAATCAGGGAATCTATCTATCTATCTATCTATCTATCTATCTATCTATCTATCTATCTATCTATCTATCTATCTATCTTGGTGTCAGTCCTGGGACTTGAACTCAGGGCCTGGGCACTCTCCCTGACCTTTTCCCCCTTCTCCCCCCAAGGCTAGTGCTCTACCACTTGAGCCACAGCTCCATTTCTGGCTTTTTGGTCGTTAATTGGAGATAAGACTTTCCCGCCTGGGCTGGCTTCAAACCATAGTTCTCAAATCTCAGCCCGCCTGAGTAGCTGGGACTCCATGCATGAGGCTCTGATGCCTGTCTGGTGAGGGACCCTGTCACCCAGGAGAGGGTTGGGCCTCCAGCCCCCCTCTTCGCCTGTCCATGGGGTGGGGGCTGCACCTGCAGTTGCAGAACACTTCCCCAGAGGCATGCAAAGGTGCCAGGAAGGCTTGTCTGCCTCCCCTATCCCCCCAAGGTACCTGAGAATCCCAAGAGCTCGCCGGGGTCCCTCAGACAGACCTCTCAGGGTCCTGACCCTGCAAGCACTTTTCCTTGAGCCCAGGGGTCATCTGCAAAAGACAAGCAGCAGCATGTGCAGAGCCTAGGGATCATCTGCAAAAAACAAGTGGCCGTGTGTGCAGTCGTGGTGTGAGGGTTCCCCACATTCATTCATAGAGTACGGAGGGTGTGCTCCACTCCTGGGAAACGTTTGGGAGTTTGATGAGCAGAGGTCGCCGAGTCACCCGCGATGCCTCTGAGCACTCCGATCGGGGATGAGGAGGGGCCAGGAGGCTGAGGATGCTGGTTTCCCCTGGCTGACTCCTCTCAGCCGGGCTGGCAGGCGTGACGGACGCTGTCCGTGGTGCTGAACGCAAGCTTTGGCTCTAGCCTGGGCCAGGTTTTCAGAGATCTGTGCAACCAGCTGGTAAAGAATGGAAGGACAGGCTACAAGGCCAAGGGCAGATCCCAGCGCCTGAGTAGTGTCACCCTCCCCCCCCTTCCTGAGCCATTCCTGGCCTCCCAGGACCCCCCCTCCCCCTTCTCCCTCCCCCTCCTGTGCAGATGCCCAGCTGTCTTCTGCCCAAGCTTTTACCCATCCAATGGGATGGCCAGTTTCCTGAGGTCAGAAATGCTGAGTTCATCTGTGATCTGTATGCTGATCAATAAGGTACTGTCCCCTCCCCCACTCACCCTCCGTCTTCAGCCGCTGGCCCTCCCGCATGCACCGTGCCCCCCCCCCCCCCTCCAGCCCCTCTCCCTACTTTCTTCTCTGGAGAATTTTAACCTTCTGCTTCTGCAAATCTGTTTTGTTTTCTCACTGTATAATATAGGGCATAGATCAGAACTTTTACAAACAGATATCAATTCATTTCACCCTTAGGATTTTGCTAGTTAGGTACACACACACACACACACACACACACACACACACAGCACACACCCCAAGACTGAGGATTGAACCCAGCCCTTTTGTGCTAGATAGGCAGGTATTCTGCCACTTAAGCTAAACTCCTGGCCCTTTTGATTTTTTTCTTTTTTCTTTTTTGTCAGATGTGAGGCTTGAACTCTGGGCCTGGGCACTGTCCCTCAGCTCTTCAGCTCAAGGCTAGTGCTCTACCACCTAAGCCACAGTGCCACTTCTGGTTTTCTGGTGGTTAATTGGAGATAAGAGTCTCACAGACTTTCTGGGATGGCTCTGAACCATGATGCTCAGATCTCAGCCTCCTGAGTAGCTAGGATTGCAGGTGTGAGCCACCGAGGCCTGGCGATTTTCTTTTTGTTGTTATGCCGGTCTTGGGCTTGAAGTCGGTCTGGACGCTGTCCCTGAGCTGCTTTTGCTCAAAGCTAGCACTCTACCACTTGAACCACAGTGCCATTAACAGCTTTTTAAAAAATGTTGAGTAGTTTATTGGAGACATGAGTCTTATGGACTTTGGTAGCTGGGCTGGCTTTAAACCATAACCCTCAGATCTCAGCCTCCCTGAGTAGCTAGGATGACAGGTGTGAATCACGTGCGTCTGGCTTTTTTTTTTTTTTTCAAGCAGGCTCTTTCTAACTTTGCCCAGACTGGCCTCACACTGTGCTCTTCCTCCTCTTGATCTCCTAAGCTCTTGGGGTTTCCAGATGTGCACCCCCAGGCCTGACTTGTGATTAGCATCATCAGATAAATCAGGAAACTGAGGCACGTGTGGGTAAATGATGGCATAGGAATGGAATGGAGTTTGGAACCTGGCCTCAGATCCATGCTCCTTCGCCCGGTTCTGCTACACCCCAAGCCGTCCTGGGGTGATCCCAGATAGGCAGAGAACTTTGAGCATTTAGACCCCAGCCCGGATCAGCCACCAGCAATATCTTGAGCATCTGGAAAACTCGAGATTGAGACAATTAGTCAGAATGTAAGGAAATGGGTGTTTTTGCCTCATGTAATTTAGTTTTATGAAGACCACTAAATGCAAACATTCTCCTGTTAATTACTGTCTTGAATTTGGTCTGTAATTGAGGGAGCTGGGGGGGGGGTGGTGGTGGTGGAGCAATGTGCTGGAGAGGCAGGCCTGCCCAAGTCAGCATTCCCCGCCGCCTTGCGCCTAATCTGTTAATTTTAGAAACTCTTCTAGCCTGGGTGTATTATTAGCTTTATGTACAGAGGAGCACGTGGGCCCTTGGTGGCTTCTCTGTGCTACAGCATTGGGGTTTTGTTTTGTTTTTTTGCTTTTTTGTTTTCTTTTTTTCCCCCCGGGAGATTAAATGGACAGGAATGGTAGCGTGCACGCACGCATGGTGTGTGACACACTGTGTGTGTGTGTGTCAATGGTTACCCGCCGAGTGCATGTGACTGCTGGTGAGTGGTGTGAATGTGGCTGGGCGGTGCTTCCAACTCCAGAACATTCCATAGTAGTTGGTGCCATTCTCCTAGGACTCATGGGCTAGTGCTGTGTTCTTTTCAGGAGGGTGTGGAGGCTGTGTGGGGGGGGGCCCTCGAGGTCCAGTGGGTTCTTGGAGAAGGAGAGAAACCCCCATGAGGCCCCTGTCTTGAGATCCTCAAGGGCTTGACTTTCAAAGAAGCTTCTAGAAGCTGCCTCTGGATGGCGCCCTTCCTGCCCATGCTGGCCCTGCTTCTCCACTCCTGGCACCATGTTGACTCTGGCAAAGGGAACAATTTCCAGTGAAGTAATTTCTTCAGGCCGGAGTCCATCCAGATTTTGGGGAGACCCCCCCCCTGAAGACTCGAGAATACTGGCCTGTTCCCCACACTGCCTTTCCTTCTGGCCGAAAGGTCACTTATCCTGGAGGAGGGTGCTTGCTTCTGCCTGACCTGTGATCTTTGTCCAGCAAGCTGTGGGTCTCGGTGCTTGGGCAGGGGCCTGGGAGGAACGGCCAGCCTCGCAGGTGTGGGTCTGGGCGTGGCAGTGCTGGCTGCACACCGCAGAAGGCCTCTGCCAGTTCTGGGGGGGCAGATGAGCCCCAGCGCAGACTGAAGAGCCGGCTGTGTGCCACCTCGCTCTGTTCCACCTCTCGGAGGAGCTTTGCCCCGAGACCCTGGTAGGCAGAGGGTGCGGCGGGTGCTTCTGGGCCCCAGGGGAAAGGGGTGCAGTGAGGGGGGGGTGCCCTTGAGGCCTAGTGGGTTCTTGGAGAAGGAGTGGGGCATCAGATGTCTGGGAAGAGAAGCCCCGTGGGGAAGTGAGATGGTCAGACATTTGCTCAGTAATGGGGGTGGGGTTCCAGGGAGCCAGCTGAGGGGGAGGGGCAGATCAGAATGACAGGAGTCGTTGCAAAGTAGGGAAACTGAGGTCCAGGGTGAAGAGGGACCCGTTTAGCGTCTCCTTGTATTATCCACAGCAGAGCCTGGACTAGGGCCAAGGCCTCTTGCCTCCCGGGCACCTGGCACAGGCCTGGACACATCCTTGTCCTCTGGTCACGGTGTGTGTGGCATGTGCCTGGCAGCCCAGCCTCAGTCTGGAGGAGCTGGGGTGATCGGGCCCTAAAACAGCCTCTCTTCCCCCCCCTCGGGGCCCCTGCATGCTTTGTGTGGCAGCAGAACTCTCCTGGAGGGGGAGGGGAAAGATGGAGGAGGTTTGTCCCCCACTGCAGGGCAGAGGGCATCCGTAGTGCATGAAGAGCCTCTTCCAGCCGGGCACTGGTGGCTCAGGCCTGTCATCTTAGCTCCTCAGGAAGCTGAGATCTGTGGTTCGTGCTTCAAAGCCAGCCCAGGCAGGAAAGTCTGTGAGACTCTTATTTCCAGTAAACTACTCAGAAACAAACAAACAAACAAACAAACCAGAAGTGGTGCTGTGGTTCAAGTGGTAGAGTGCTAGCCTTGAGTACAGAGAGGCTCAGGGGCAGTGCCCCAGGCCTTGAGTTCAAGCCCCTGGACTGGCAAAAAACAAAACAAAACAACAACTATACACACAAGACTTCTCTGGCTCCTATTGGCTCACCCTTGGAGCACCCTCCCTTAGTCTCTGCCCTCTCCTGGTGACTCGAGTCCTGTGTTTCCCCCGGCAGATTTTACTGGGACCTGACCATGCTGCTGCTGATGGTGGGAAACCTCATCATCATCCCTGTGGGCATCACCTTCTTCAAGGACGAGAACACCACGCCCTGGATCGTCTTCAACGTGGTGTCTGACACCTTTTTCCTGGTTGACCTGGTCCTGAACTTCCGCACGGGGATCGTCGTGGAGGACAACACTGAGATCATCCTCGACCCGCAGCGCATCAAGATGAAGTACCTCAAGAGCTGGTTTGTGGTGGACTTCGTCTCTTCCATTCCCGTGGACTACATCTTCCTCATCGTGGAGACGCGCATCGATTCTGAGGTCTACAAGACCGCCAGGGCCCTGCGCATCGTCCGCTTCACCAAGATCCTCAGCCTCCTCCGCCTCCTGCGGCTCTCGCGCCTGATCCGATACATTCACCAGTGGGAGGAGGTAAGTGGCCAGACCACCCGTCTTCTGAAATCTCAGGTTGCTGGACACGGCTGTCCAATTGTAGCAGGCATACCTACTCCAAGAGGACAAATACTAGTCCTTTCTGGACTGCATATCACGTGTGTGATGCTGCCCAAAGCATTTGATACACACTGTCCTGGGTGCCACGTGGGTACACGGAGAACTTGCGTTTAGCGCAAGGAAACTGAAAAGTGCAGCGATTTTACCCCTGGTTACATGCCTGATGGTTGGTGAAATGGCAGGCGGAAGCGGCCAACTATAGATACACACATGGGAGAGGAAATACCATTGGGGTTTGTAAACTCCAAAGGCCAAAAAAGGGCCATTTGGGGGACAGTTGGAGATGTGGGGTCCTGACGAGAAAGAGCTAGGGAATGCACCTGCCTGGATTGGGCAGCCTCTGCTCAGCCCTGCTTAGCTGTTGCTGTGGAAGAATGGCCTGTGTTCCTAGAGCTACAGATTCAGCATGATGGAAATCTGATTTTGGTAAATTTTTTTCTTGACAGTGGTTTTATTTATTTATTTAGTCGGTCGTGGGGCTTGAACTCTGGGCCTGGGCGCTGTCTCTCAGTTCTTCAGCTCAAGGCGAGCACTCTACCACTTTCGCCACAGCACCACTTCCGGTTTTCTGGTGGTTTACTGGAAATAAGAGTCTCATGGACTTTCCTGCCTGGTCTGGCTTTGAACCGCGATCCTCAGATCGCAGCCTCCTGAGTAGCTAGGATGACAGGCGACCGGTGTTCGCAGTGGTTTTAGATTGGGCTGTTCTAGAGCAACCCAGGAGATGAGGCTCTGTAAGAATGTGATGGGGGGAAGGGAGGAGCATGGGGGGGGGGAGGGAAAAGGGAGGGAGGAGACAGAGATGGGCAGCCCTTGAGGGCAGGGCATTAAGCGAAGTTCAGTGGGGATTGGCTGAAACCGTCTGTGCCACAGCTGGGCATTTCCCAGTCAGAAGAAAAGAGCTGGAGAGCCGGGTGGTGGTGGCTCACGCCTGTAATCCTAGCTACTCAGGAGGCTGAGATCTGAGGATCGCGGTTCAAAGCCAGCCCGGGCAGGAGAGACCATGAGACTCCTATCTCCAATAAACCACCAGAAAACCGGAAGTGGCGCTGTAGCTCAAGTGGTAGAACGCTCGCCTTGAGCTGAAGAGCTGAGGGACAGCGCCCAGGCCCAGAGTTCAAGCCCCACAACCGACAAAAAAAAAAAAAAAAAGAGCTGGAATGTCTCTCCCCACAAGTCAGTCTGCAGGGGGCTCTCAGGCCTCTGCGCAGGATGTGGCCCCTCCCCCAAGATCCTGGGTTCCTTTGCACAACATTACAACAGAAACTGTCAATGGTGGCTCCTGCCAGTAATCCTAGCAGTTCAGGAGACTGAGTCCTGAGCATCCTGGTTTGAAGCCAGCCCAGGCAGGGAAGTCTGTGAGATTGTTATTGCCAATTAGTTGCCCCTCAAAAAGCTAGATGTGCAGGTGTGGCTCAAGTGGTAGAGTAGCTGCCTTGAGCTAATAAATAAATAGCTCAGGGACAGCACCCAGGCTGGAATTCAAACCCCAGGACCACACATTAAAAAACCAACAAACACAGGGCTGGGAAGGTGGCTCAGTGGTAGAGTGCTTACTTCGCATGCATGAGGCCCTGAGTTTGATTCCTTAGCACCATATAAACAGAAAAGGCTGGAAGTGGCGCTGTGGCTCAAGTGGTAGAGCGCTAGCCTTGAACTGAAGAGCTCAGGGACAGCGCCCAGGCCCAGAGTTCAAGCCCCATGATGGACAAAAAAAAAAAAAAAAAAAGCTGGGCTCTGGTGACTCATGCCTATAAGCCTAGTTACTCTGGAAGGGTGAGTTCTGAGGATCTCAGTTCAAAGCCAGCCTGGGCAAGAAAGTCTGTGGGACTCTTATCTCCAATGAACCACCAGAAAACCGGAAGTAGTGCTGTGGCTCAAAGTGGTAGAGCGCTCACCTTAAGCTGAAAAGCTGAGGGACAGCGCCCAGGCCCAGAGTTCAAGCCCCATGACCAAAATACAAACAACAACAACAAAAACACCTGCAAATGAGTTTTGAAGAACTCTAGCTCATCCATGGGCTGGGTGCTTGTCTCTAGAGGAAAAGATGTGGCCAGTGACCTTGTTGGGAACCCAGAGGTGTGTTTGTCACTACTGAGTACTTGCTTTGGCACCTGCAGGCCAGCCTGGGGGTTCTGGGGTTGCGGGTGAGGGGCTCTGTGACCCCTTCCCCTGGGCTTGGAGAGGGCCGTGCTGATGGGGACTGTCGGCCGTGTCTGTGGGTCCCCAGTCTCCAAGAAGGCCTGAGTTGCGTGGAAAGGCCACGATCTGGGTCCACAGTCCCCGCCCGCAACGCTCTTCCTCCCCACGTGGCTGCTGCACCCACGGCTGACAGGCGGGGCCCTTGGCAGATTCAGGTCAGAGGCATCGCAAACCCGCGTGTCTCCGAAGAAGGGCCTACACCAGCCCGGCAGAATGCCCCCCACCCCCCACGGGCAGAAGTACACTTTTGTGGCTTGGAGCATTTGCATGACTCCTGCTGATAAACAGGGACCATGACTCACTCCAGGTCGGGAGGAAGGGCGGGCGGGAGCCGAGGTATCTGCGCTCCTAGGAGGATGGCAGCCCCTGGGCCAGCTAACAGGATCCGGTGACTTTTTTTCCTGTTGGATTGTGGGCCTTGAACTTGGGGCTTGGGCATTGTCCCTGAGCTTTTTTTTTTTTTACCTAAGCCTAGCACTCTACCACTTTGAGCCAAAGCTCCACTTCTGGTTTTCTGGTGGTTCATTGGAGATACCTGTCTCACAGACGTTCCCGCCCGGGCTGGCTTTGAATCACGATCTTCAGATCTCCGCTTCCTGAGTAGCTAGGATGACAGGCGTAGCCTCCGGCGCCTGGCTCCTGGCGGGCTTTCGAGTTGGAACGGCACATTGGAGACCCAAATTAAACCCCAACTCCACACTGTGTGAGCGTGTGGCCCCGCTCTGCTCCCTTAACTCTGAGCCTTGTTCTCTTTATCTGCAGAATGGGTGATTATAGAATCTGATGTTTGTAGAGACCTTCACCCTGCTGTAAAAAAAAAAAAAAGCCACTTAAAAGCCAGGCCCTGATGTAGAAGAGCCATTTAAAAGCCAAGCCCTGGTAGGGCACGCCTGCCATCCGAGCTACTCAGGAGGCTGAGATCTGAGGACTGTGGTTCAAAGCCAGCCTCAGGAAGGAAAGGCCACGAGACTCCTATGAATTAACGAATCACCAAAAAGCTGGAAGTGGAGCTGTGGCTCAAGTGGTGGAGGCACCAGCCTTGAGCTGGACAGCACCCAGGCCCTGAGTAAAAGAAGTTCTTTAATAAACACTCCTCCCACAATGTGTTAGCAGCAGGCCATTGGTTACTCATGCCTACGCGGCGAGGTACACAGGGCGGGGCTTAGCCCCCATTCACCTGGCCAGGAGACTGGATCCGAAGGGGGCGCTGTGCCCCTCAGTAGTGGGATCTGTATGACGGAGGGTCTCCCTTCTGTTCTGCTCCTCCGATGCCGTGAAGCTCCCTCTGGTGCCCTTCACTGGGTGCCCGGCCTCCACTCACTCCAGATGCTCACATCCAGCTGTGCTCTGACCTGCATGGGGGACACGGGGTGGGATGGGTTGGAGATCCCTGAGAGATGGGGGGAGGGGTGGGGAGAGTCTGCGGTCAGGATGGAGAAGGGACAGTAGGGGGGGAAGAGGGGGTCGGGGGTGGCCGCCTCGCGCTGTGAAGGAAGGAGGAAGGCATTATTTCCCAGAATGCCCATCACAGGTAGAAATGCAAGACGCTGCTGGCTTCTCCACTGCCCCATTTGTCATCAATGGCGCCTCCGTGGAAGCCGCAGCGACCCCTGGAGGCCAGCCTTGCTCCCCTGGTAGTCCTGGGCCCTTGCCGGGGTCGTGGCCATCCATGCCAGGAGCTCAGGCCCAGGGCTGCCATCTACACAGCTCCTCCAGCCTGGCTCCTTTCTGGACCGTGCAGACGTGGTGAGCTAGGCCGTGTGTAGCCTGGGCCTTGTCGCTGGGAAGGCAGAGGCCCCAGGGGGCCCTCGGGGGTCCTGACCTGGACATTGCTACTCAATCTACTTGGCAGGCAGGGAGATCCCAGGAGGCCAGATGGGTAGCTCTGTGCCCCCCCCCCCCCCCCACACACACCAGCACACCCTTATCTCTCCTACCAGCTGCAGAGGAAATTGCTTTGAGCTGATTTCTCTAGGCGGCAGGGCCCTGAACCCCTGGGATTGGACTGGGCTTTCCCAGCTGGCTTCATGAACCCCATCTTGTCAGCCCTCTTGGGCCCCAAGTTTCTCCCAGGCTCAGCTTGCTGGGGAGGGCTGGGGGGGGGGCGGGAGGGGGGCTGGTGTCCGGGTCACAGGAGCGCTCTGATCTCTTCCTCGCTGGGCTTCCGTTTCCTCAGCTAGCGGCGTGCTGGTGTTTTCTGAGGCTTGCCCCCCCCACCTTCCCTCTCCTCTCTACTATCCCCCCCACCTCCCCTCTCCTCTTCACCCCCCCCCCCCCCCCAGCCCAGGCTCAAGTATCTCTTGGTAAAAACAGAACCTGTGCTGAGGTTGTGCTTGTGGCTGACAGGGCTTAAAGGAAGGCGCTGGGGGGGGGGGGAGCTAGGCGAGGCCGGTGCTGGCAGGGACCCCAGCCTCCGTCTTTCTGTCCCCGGGAGATCTAGGTCAGCAGCCTGGCCTCCCCCAGCCAGCCTGGCCCTCCCTCTGAGGTGTGAGCTTGTCACAGGCTCCAGGGCTATTGTTAGAAACCTCGGTTGCCCCCTCCTCCCCCCTCCAGCTGTTCCCCTGCACTCCGGCGACCCATTCCAGAAGCTTCTATTCTCCCAGCAGGCTGGAGGCAGGATGCCAGGCCTGAGCGGCTGGGTGGACCCTGATGGGTCCTCCAGCTCTCAGACTCGGGGGAGCAGTGGGGAGAGGTCGTGGGGTTGGAGGGAGGCTGGGGCTGGACCCTGGCTGCAGCAGCATACCCGTTCCTCCCGCCGTAGATGACAGGCGCTGGGTCCTGAGAGGCCCCGGAAGTTCCTGGTTTTCTAGGTGGAGCAAATGAGGCTCTGGAGAGGAATGCAACAGGTCCCAGGAAGAGGAAGTCCCAGGGCAGCTTGACTGACCATTTCCGGTGCTGGGAGAGGAAGGGAAGGGAAGGAACCCACTATGCGCAGACTACCCACTGTGAGCCACGTGGACACGATTCCTTCCCAGACCCAAGGCAGATCTGGGAGCTTGCAGCTGCTGACCCATTCCACAGATTAGGAGAGTGAGGCGCAGGGGAGGTGTGGTAGGGGAGTGGGTGTGGCCTCCCAGAGGGTAGGAGGAGCCTATCTGTCTGGAGAGGCCTGGGGCGGCCTGGGGCGACCTGAAGAGGAAGGTGCTCGGCCCCCCCACCCTCCCCGAGGGAGAACTAACATCGAGAAAGCAAGTTTTAATGAAATATAAAGAGCAAGGCAAATATTGACCCAGCGCAGCTGACTGGCAGGTGGCTGGTCCCGCAGCCCGTGGTCGGCGCACACAGCCTCGAGCCGTTTCTCCCAACAACAGCCAACCTGGCTCTCAGCAACCACATCCTGGGTGCTGTCCAGTGCTTGGGGTGCGGCCAGTAGCGTCCTCCTGGAAGCTCGGACAGAGCCATTTGGATCTGCAAGGCTCTGCAGTCAGAACCTTGTACCTATCCTCCACCCAGGCCCTCCTTCACCTGGCCCGGGGGAGGGGGGAGCTCTGTGCTGTGTCTTCCCAGCGCACCCCCAGATTCCCAGTGCCACAGAGTGCTCCACAGGTCCTGAGCCCTGCTTCGGTAGTGGCAAAGGCAAAAAAGGAGACAGAAAAGACACCATCTTGGAAGAAAATCAATTATGAAGGAAAGAAAAAATGAAAAAGTAGGCAAAGAAGAATTGAAGACATTGTGTGAACACAGGCCTGCCCAGATGCTTCTTTCTCTGAGAGCCAGAGCGGCTGGTAGACAGGAGTTGGGATTGAGGCCCAGCTGCCACGGCCCGGGCATACAACATTACCTCCCATACAATATGCCTTCATTCATCTAAGCATCTACACAGATATCCAAGCAACTAGCAGGTGTTTGAAAGGCTTCCCCGCTAAGCATGGAGGAATACCGAAATGCAAAATACAGAAAAGAACTCTATCTCATAGAGTATTAAGCCAGATAGTAAATGTCAGTTTTTAAATTATCATTATTATTATTATTATTATTATTTGGCAGTACTAGGGTTTAAATTCAGGGTCTTACATTTGCTAGGCAAGTGCTCTACCACTTGGTTTTGTTTTTTGTTTTTTTTTTTGGTCGTGGGGACTGAACTCTGGGCCTGGGCGCTGTCCCTCAGCTCTTCAGCTCAAGGCTAGCGCTCTACCACTTGAGCCACAGCGCCACTTCCAGGTTTTTCTGCTTATGTGGTGCTGAGGAATCGAACCCAGGGTCTCATGCATGCAAGGCAAGCGCTCTACCACTGAGCCACCTTCCCAGCCCCTGCTCTACCACTTGAGCCACACCACCAGGCCTTTTTGTTTGTTGAGGTTATTCATTTATTATGTGTGTGCTTGAACTCAGGGCCTGGAGGTGTTGTGTGGCTTTTTCTCGCAAGGCTAGCACTCTACCACTTGAACCATACCTCTACTTCTGGCTTTTATTTTTTGCTAATTGGAGATCAGGGTGTCATGGATTTGTCTGTTTGGGCTGGCTTTGAACTGTGATCCTCAAATCTCAGCTTCCTGAGTAGTTAGGATGACAGGCATGAATCACCAGTGCCCAGCATTTAGGTTATTACTACTTTTTTTCAGATAAATATCTTCTTGTGCCCAGGGTGGCCTGGACCACCATCTTTTAGCTCTCCATCTCCCGATTTGCTGGGATTATAGACGTGTGCTACCATAACTGGCAGTAAACGTGATTTTCCTGCCACATAGGAAATGAATCAGGCCGAGTCCATCCCCGGGGAGGGTGGCCGGGAGAAGCTGGGTCTGCTTCTCACAGGGCTGTAGGGCCTTTCCATGAAATGGCTGACAGTAGAAGGAGCTGAAGGAAGGACACACAGCAGGTGGGAATAAACCTAGTACTGAGGCGAGTAAGAACTGGCTGGGGCCGTGAGGGACCTGAAGATCGCCAGGGTAGCTGCAGGAGGTGACCGCGAGCAGAGGGAGGGAGGTGGACTGGTTGGAATCCAGGCCACAGAGGCCACGGTAGCCACAGCCCGCAGGTGGAGTCAAGAGTACCACAGCCCTCTTGATGTCCTTTGTATTTTTTTGGCAGTCCTGGGGCCTGAACTCCGGGCCTGGGCGCTGTCCCTCAGCTCTTCAGCTCAAGGCTAGCACTCTACCACTGGAGCCACAGTGCCACTTCCAGGTTTTTCTGCTTATGTGGTGCTGAGGAATCGAACCCACAGCCTCATGCATGCAAGGCAAGCGCTCTACCACTGAGCCACCTTCCCAGCCCCCGCTTGATGCCTTGAAGGTTACTTTCTAGCTGCTCAGCTGGACTGGAAGACCCAAGAGTCTAATGGGGGGGGGGTCTTCTGGGATTGGACTGGAGTAGAAAATCTGGAGATGTCTCTACAGGACGTGGGCCCAAGGGCCTAGGCTGAGCAGATGCGACACCAGTGACCCTAGATGGGAGACAGGGAAGAGTGGGGTTTGGGACGTGTCCATCTGGAAACAGAACATTGAGCATTAGGAGTCGGCCTGCCTCTGGGACCCCAGCCCGGTCTCAGCAGGGCCCAGCTCCGGGCCTGCCGTCCTGCCCACCATGGACCACTGTGCCCGTGGCCTTGACCTTCAAGATCAGGACTGAGAAGAGGGAATTCTGGAGCCTGTCTCTTTGGACTCACCTTTCTTCTTCTGAAATGGCTTTCCATTAGATCTCTGGCCCAAAGCCCCTTTCCAGAAGCAGTGCATTTGCCCGCTGTTGAGGGACCAGAACTAAAGCTTGGTGGCTGGAGCCACCCCAAGCCCATTCCTCCTTGGCCAGGACCTCTACGGGCCTGCCTTAGCCTCCCCAGCCCTGCCTCCCCTCGCTGTACTATCGCCGTGGTGACTCCTGCCAGACGCCAGCGTGCGTAACGTCAGGAAGGGGAAGCGAGCAGGGATACTGGGCAGGTCCCGCTGCCCTACCACGCCACAGCCTCCTTGGAGCCTCAGGAGTGGAGGGGGGCTGGGGGCCGGGGCTCAGGGTGCCGCCATCCTTGATGCAAGCAACAACCCCCCCCCAAAAAAACACCCCAGAGCATTACTACTTACACTTGCTAAGGGAAGATGAATTATTAATAACAACTTAGCAGTTCATTAGGGCTTGTAATTTATCCAATACTTCTCTACTCAGTATTAAGTACTTTATATGTATAATTTAATCTTTTTGACAACTCGTTCCGCTAAGACGTTTTTATCACCATTTTCCAGATGACAAGAAAAACATGATCAGAGAGGTTGGGTTTATATTCTTTTCAAGATCAGTGCAGCTAGGAGTTGGGTAGATTCCGGGCCTGGGGAGCAGGGGGCGGGGGAGGGTGTCAGATCTGTAGGAACGTGGAACCTGTGGCCCAAGGCTGCCCACCCCAACTGTCTGAGGGCTGACTTTGCCCTCGCTGTAGGCTCCTGGGCTGGATTCAGAGATTCTAAGTTCCAGCCCTGGGCCTGACTCTAAACCATGGCTCCTGGAGAGCATCCTGTATCCACAAGGTTATCTCGTGCTGGTGCTGGGGCTTGAACTCAGGGCCTGGGCACTGTCCCTGAGCTGCTTTTGCTCAAGGTTAGCATGTAAACCGTTCGAGCCAGAGTTCCATGTCTGTGGTTTGTCTTTGTTTTCCCCCTTTGGGGATGGAGGTAGTTTATTGGGGATCAGAGTCTTACGCTTCCCTGCCCCGGCTGGCTTTGAACCATGATTCTCAGAGCTCAGCCTCCTAAGTAGCTGGAATGGCAGGTGTGAGCCACCAGCACTCGGCTGGTATACCAACAAGGTGTCTTCTCAGACTGTGCATGGACTACACTAGGATCCACATAGTCTGATGGCTGTATCTCCTGTAGGTGACCCTGGGCCCGCCCCGGGCCCCCTCTCTGGGACCCCACAGCCTGTTTTCTTACCTCTTGGGGGGCTCAGGCCCAGCTGTCTCTCCCCTGATCCGGCCTGGCCTGCGTGTGGCCGGCAATGGTGGCCATGGGGCGGGGCGGCGCCTGTGCCCCTCACTCCGCGCCTCCGCCGGCAGATCTTCCACATGACCTACGACCTAGCCAGCGCCGTGGTGCGCATCGTGAACCTCATCGGCATGATGCTGCTGCTGTGCCACTGGGACGGCTGCCTGCAGTTCCTGGTACCCATGCTGCAGGACTTCCCGCATGACTGCTGGGTGTCCATGAACGGCATGGTGGTGAGTGCGCCCTGCCCCCCCCCCCCCCCCCCGCCTCCCCCGAGGGGCGCTCGCCCCCCCCCAGACCCCGGATGGGCAGAGAATGCACGGGGGAGCGCACAGGACCAGGTGGCGTAGATCGCTGCCCTGCCCATCCCACGGCGCTGCCCGTGCCCGATGCCACTCACAGCCCTTGGCTGTGAACTGTCGCTGCCACCTTCCAACCATCGTAGCTACACAGTGTGGCCTGATGCCACCCAAGAAGACTTAAGGCCTCCGGGACCGGATGGGACCCTAGAAGCTGAACCCCAGAAATTAGCCATCTCTAGCCCACACGGATGACCAGAGTATTAGGAACATTTTCTGCTCCAGAGGTAGAGCTGGGATGCCTGGCTCCCAGACAGACAGACAGACAGACACACACACGCACGTACGCACGCACGCACTCATGCACACACGCACATACACATGCACACCAGCCATGGAGAGCAGGCAGATGGCAGCCTGGCCTCCCGTCCCCTCCAGCCCTGCAGCTGGGTAAGTACCTGGAGCCCTAGAAGCCATGAGGAAGAGCCCCCCACCCCCAGCCCTGCTTGGGCAGGAACAGCCTCCCATGAGGGTGGAAGGACCCTCCTCCCTGCCCCCCCCCAAAAAAAATCCAAACCCATGAGCCTTTCTCTGGCTGTAATCCTCTCCCCCTTAGGCAGTGTGTGGTTTGGTCTGAAAGCAAATGCCCAGGGCCCCAGGGGAGAGAAAACTGGCTCCGAAAGAGGTGAAAGACACCCCAAGGTCTTCCAGCATCCCACAGGCCTTTGCAGAACAGCCTTTTGATGAGCTAAGTGTAAATGAACGCGCCCGGCCAGGCCTGGGGATTGAGCCTGCCCCCCCTCCCCGTGCCCCTCCCCCAGAGGCTCAGCAATGCGTCTGGAAGCTCCCCTTCCTCCCCTAAAACATAGGAGGCAACTCGGGGGGCTGCCCTTGGGCTCCCCAGACCCCTTCCACTCCCGGGAACCAGCCAGCTCTGCCCGCCCTGCCCTGGTGTGGACTGAGCCGCTGTGCCCAAGGCAGGAGCCCAGCTCTGCCCAGGACGGTTGACCTTGAACTTGGCCCTGGCTTCTGAGGTTCCTGGGCCTGCCCTCCTGCAGGTGCTGCGGGCAGCCTGGTGCTAGGGGAGTTCTCAGGGCTCAGGGCAGGGACTGCAGGCGGGCACACTGGCTTGGGTTCCTGCCAGTGGAGAGGGGGTGGGTTGGGGGGGCTCACCGGTGACTCCTCCCGCGAGGCACAGGGCCTCTGGACGGGAAGGGGACAGGCCCCTGGCACACTGCATTCCGGAAGTGGCTCTTTCTGAGCCCGTGTTCCCACGCCGAGCCTTCTTGGCGACACCACCGGCTGGCTCTGGAGACAGATATAGCCATGAGCCTCCTCGTCACCTCCTCTGCAGGCCACCTCTGGGGCAGTGGGAGCGGAGCTAGTGGCCACAGCCCCGGGTGGGTGGACAGGCTTCCTTCCATGGGGTGGGGGTGGGGGTTAACTTCCACTTGAATCGTCAAAGGAGGACCAGGTTTTGGGGGCTCTGACTGCCCAGCTGTCCCCCAACCCCCCGGGGGGAGAGTCTCTGGTTTTGTAATGGAGGTCAGTAGGGGAATGGGCTTTGCTTAGCAGTGGTTTGGGGGTGGGAGTGGGGATATGTTGACCAGCTAGGGACAGTGGGGGGGGGAGGTTGGGGGGGGGTGATTCAGCCTGCAGAACTTGCTATTCAGCCAAAGAGGCTCCAGGCTACCCCGCGGGGGCTACCCTGGTCTCCTCGCTCCCATTTCCAGCTGGATCCCTGTCCCTCACTGTAAGAGGAAATGGGGTCTCCCTGTCCCTCATCCAGGACCATCAGCCAAAGCAAGAACCAGTGTGGGGGTGGGGCGGGGAGCCCCAAGTTTAGCCACTAGGAAAGTCAGGCTTGAGGGGGGGCAGCAAATCTTCTAGGGGGCGAGCGAGCAGGGCCCCGCCTGCCCCTGGCCCAGCCCGTTCAGCCCGGTGCCCCTGTCCGTCCACAGAACAACTCGTGGGGGAAGCAGTACTCCTACGCCCTCTTCAAGGCCATGAGCCACATGCTGTGCATCGGCTACGGGCGGCAGGCGCCGGTGGGCATGTCGGACGTGTGGCTCACCATGCTCAGCATGATCGTGGGCGCCACCTGCTACGCCATGTTCATCGGCCACGCCACCGCCCTCATCCAGTCCCTGGACTCCTCTCGGCGCCAGTACCAGGAGAAGGTAGGCTGGAGCCTTGGCCAGAGGGAACAAAGCAGGGACAGCCCGCGGGTGCCAGCCCTGCCTGTGATCTGGGCTGCGGGGTGGCGCTGGGGACACCTCCTGGATGAGAATTCCCATCAGCTCCCTGGCCTGAAACCCAGAAAGGGCCCTGTGAGTCTCTGTCTGTGTGCGCGTGCGCACGCATGCTCCTCAGTCCTTGGGCTTGAACTCAGGGCCTGGGCACTGTCCTTGAACTTTTGTGCTCAAGGGTAGCGCTCTACCACTTGAGCCACAGCGCCACTTGTGGCTTTTTGGGTAGATCATTGGAGATAAGAGTCTCAGATTTTCTTGCCCAGGCTGGCCTTGAACCACGATCCTCAGCCTCTTAGCCTCCTGAGTAGCTGGGATGACAGGTGTGCGCAGCAGCGCCCGATTCCATCAATGCCTCCTGACTTGTGCCTGCCCTTCCTCCCTCAGTGGCCTGTCAGTCTCTCTGTTGAAGGGGACCAGTAGATCTTTCTGGGTCTTTGCTCGGCCCGTCAGTGTTCAGCAGGTGTCAGGCCTTTGTATGGCTCACTTGGTTTCCATGATGACAGCTCTGGGTTTCCTTCCTTCCTGGCCCTCCTCCCCTCTGGTAGGTTGTTGAGGTGTGACGACCTTCCACGCCGCCCTCACGTGTCCATGTACGAACCGCGAAGGCTGGATGATACAATTGGCTCGGCTTCATTCTCAGCTCTGGAGGGTTCCATGCGTGTCCCCCATCTCCCGTCACGTCTCCCCTGCTCCCTCCGCTCCAGATCACCACCCTTCACACAGACACTGAGGCAGAAACCCCAGCTCTGTTGTGGATGCCCGCCTCCGAGCAGGCGGGCCTCTCCCTTTAGTCCATCCCAGCAGCGACCCCAGGCCACTGCTGCAGCTTCCTGATGATCTCAGCCTCGCTTGAGGACTGACCAGCAAGGGCTGGTTACCTGTCCATAAGGCGGTGGATGGGTTTCTGAGAGGTTCTGCGAGTCAGACCCTTGATGCCACATTGACAGAGTGAGCAGTATTCATCCGCTCTGCCAGTCCACTCCTCACACAGCAGTGAGCTGGGCGTGGTGGTACACACCTATAATCCCAGCACTCAAGAGGCAGGAGGATCATGAGTTTCAGATCAGCCTAGGTTTACTTAGCAACAAAACAAGGAGGGGGATCAGGAGAATCTGCAGAGCTGGGGGCAGGCTTGCTTAGGGGAAGCAGCAGGAGGAAACTGTGGAAGAGAAATTCCAGGCCACTCAACATGGCAGAGGGTGATGAAGGAGAAATCAGCCAGGTTGGGTGGGCATGGTAGCGCATGCCTGTAATCCTGGTGCAGCTGGGCAGGCTGCCTAGAGGTGACAACTTTTCTCTTCCTCCCAATACCCCCCCCCCCCCTCCACACACACACAGTACAAGCAGGTGGAACAGTACATGTCCTTCCACAAGCTCCCTCCCGACACGCGGCAGCGGATCCACGATTACTACGAGCACCGCTACCAAGGCAAGATGTTCGACGAGGAGAGCATCCTGGGTGAGCTGAGCGAGCCGCTGCGCGAGGTGAGCTGGCCGGGGAGCCTGGGCAGGGAGGGGGGTACTTCCTCCCCCCCTCCTTCCTGCATCCTAACTCGGGCTCCCCCCCCCCCCCCCACACACAGGAGATCATCAACTTCAACTGCCGGAAGCTGGTGGCCTCCATGCCGCTGTTCGCCAACGCGGACCCCAACTTTGTGACGTCCATGCTGACCAAGCTGCGCTTTGAGGTCTTCCAGCCCGGGGACTACATCATCCGCGAAGGCACCATCGGCAAGAAGATGTACTTCATCCAGCACGGCGTGGTCAGCGTACTCACCAAGGGCAACAAGGAGACCAAGCTGGCTGACGGCTCCTATTTTGGAGGTGAGCTGGCTAGTGGGGATCCCCCCCCCCCCCCCCCCCCCCCCCCGTTCCAGCAGCTTTTATCAACAGCGGAAGTTCGTGTCTCACAGCTCCAGAGGCTGGGACTCGGCCAGAGGTTGGGGTTCTCTTGAGGGGCCTCTTCGCAGTCACAGATGACCGCCATCTGGCTGTGGCCTCTTCCCATGAATGCTGTGGCTCTCAGCGAGTTATTTATCATTCATTTGAACTCTGGGCCTGGGCGCTGTCCCTCAGCTCTTTTTGCCCAAGGCTCGCACTCGACCATGCTGAGCTCCAGCTCTGTTTCTAGTTTTCTGGTGGTTCATTGGAGGTAAGCGTCTCAGGGACTTTCCTGCCCTGGGCTGGCTTTGAACCACGATCCTCAGATCTCAGCGTCCATAGTACTTAGGATGACAGGTGTGAGCCACTGGCGGCGGCCACTTCATGAAATTTATGCGAGCTGCACCTGCGTGATATGGTCACCTCCCGAAGCCCTGCCTGCAGATCCCACCCTGAGATGGCGTTTACACGTCATCTGCGGGGTGTGCAGAGAGCGCAAGCTGACATACCTCTGTGGGAGGGAGGCGTGGGTGTCTACTGTAGCTTCAGCCTAGAATGGGGCATTGAGGGCCTGTGAAGCTGCTGTACCAAGCAGTGGGGCCCAAGATCAAGGCCCTGGTGCTTCTCCCATGCTGAGTCCTCCCCAGGCTGAGTCCTCCCCAGGCTGAATACTGTCTGTACTGAGTCCTCCCCAGGCTGAGTCCGCCCCACGCTGAGTGCTTCCCACGCTGAGTGCTCCCCACGCTGAGCGCTCCTGTGCTGAGTCCGCCCCATGCTGAGTGCTCCCCACGCTGAGTCCTCCCCACGCTGAGTCCTCCCCACGCTGAGTGCGCCCCACGCTGAGTCCTCCCCACGCTGAGTCCTCCCCACGCTGAGTGCGCCCCACGCTGAGTGCGCCCCACGCTGAGTCCTCCCCACGCTGAGTCCTCCCCACGCTGAGTGCTCCCCACGCTGAGTGCTCCCCACGCTGAGTCCTCCCCACGCTGAGTCCTCCCCACGCTGAGTCCTCCCCACGCTGAGTCCTCCCCACGCTGAGTCCTCCCACGCTGAGTCCTCCCCACGCTGAGTGCGCCCCACGCTGAGTGCTCCCCACGCTGAGTGCGCCCCACGCTGAGTGCGCCCCACGCTGAGTGCTCCCCACGCTGAGTCCTCCCCACGCTGAGTCCTCCCCACGCTGAGTGCTCCCCACGCTGAGTCCTCCCCACGCTGAGTGCTCCCCACGCTGAGTGCTCCCCACGCTGAGTGCGCCCCACGCTGAGCGCTCCTGTGCTGAGTCCGCCCCACGCTGAGCGCCCCTGTCCTGCAGAGATCTGCCTGCTGACCCGGGGCCGGCGCACGGCCAGCGTCAGGGCGGACACCTACTGCCGCCTGTACTCGCTGAGCGTGGACAACTTCAACGAGGTGCTGGAGGAGTACCCCATGATGCGGCGGGCCTTCGAGACCGTGGCGCTGGACCGCCTGGACCGCATCGGTGAGGGGCGGGGGGGGGGGGCGAGCCCCGGCCCGGGGGAAGGGGGGACCAGCCCCGGCCCCGTGGGAAGGGGACCCCCAGCCCCCCGGCCCCCGGCTCTGGCCTGAGCCCCTGCTCGCGTTCCGTGACCCAGGCAAGAAGAACTCCATCCTCCTCCACAAAGTGCAGCACGACCTCAACTCGGGCGTCTTCAACTACCAGGAGAGCGAGATCATCCAGCAGATCGTGCAGCACGACCGCGAGATGGCGCACTGCGCGCACCGCGCCCAGGCCGCCGCGCCCGCCGCGCCCGCGCCGCCCGTCATCTGGACGCCGCTCATCCAGGCGCCGCTGCAGGCCGCGGCCGCCACCACCTCGGTGGCCATCGCCCTCACGCACCACCCGCGCCTGCCCGCCGCCATCTTCCGCCCGCCGCCGCCGCCGGGCGCCGGCCTGGCCGGGCTGGGCGGCGGCCCGACGCCCCGGCACGCGCGGCGGCTGCAGTCGCTGCTCCCGTCCGCGCCGGGCCCCGCGTCGCCCGCCAGCAGCCCCTCGCAGGCCGACACGCCGTCCTCGTCGTCCTTCCACATCCAGCAGCTGGCCGGCTTCGCGGCCCCGGCGGGGCTGAGCCCGCTGCTGCCGTCCTGCGGCTCCTCGCCGGCCCCCACGCCGGCCGCCGCCGGCGCCAGCTTCGGCCACTTCCACAGGGCGCCGGGCGGCTCCCTGTCCTCGTGCGAGTCGCCGCTGCTCAGCCCGCCGCAGGCCGCCCCGCCGCCCGCCGCCCGCGCCGGCCTGGCCCTCCCGGAGCACTGCCCGCCGCCGCCGCCCTCCTCCCGATCCCCGACGGCCAGCCCCGGGCAGCTGGGCCAGCCCCCCGGGGAGGCGGGCCCCGGCCTGCCCGGCACGCCCGAGACTCCCCCGCGGCCGTGCTGCGCGGCCGCGGCCCCCGGGGGCGCCTCCCCTGCAGCCCTGACCCCCCGGGGCGGCCTCAGCCCCCCCGGCCAGAGCCCCGGCCCCCCCAGAACTTTCCCCAGCACTCCCCCCCGGGCCTCTGGCTCCCACGGCTCCCTGCTGCTGCCCCCCGCCTCCAGCCCCCCACCCCCCCAGGTCCCCCAGCGCCGGGGGACCCCCCCCCTCACCCCGGGACGCCTCACCCAGGACCTCAAGCTCATCTCAGCCTCGCAGCCCGCCCTCCCCCACGACGGGGCGCAGACTCTCCGCAGAGCCTCCCCGCACTCCTCGGGGGAGTCGGTGGCCGCCTTCCCCCTCTTCCCCCGGGGGGCCGAGGGGGGCAGCGGGAGGCCCCATGGTGCCAGCCCCGGCCAGCATGTCACTCTGCCTCGGAAGACATCCTCAGGTTCTCTGCCACCCCCTCTTTCTTTGTTCGGGGCAAGAGCTGGCTCTTCTGGGGGGCCCCCTCTGACTGCTGCACCCCAGAGGGAAGCTGGGACCAGGTCTGAGCCTGTGCGCTCCAAACTGCCGTCGAACCTATGAGCCGGGCCCTCCCTCCCTCCCTCCTTCCCTCCCTCCCTCCTTCCCTCCCTCTTTTTTTCCCCTCCCTCTTTTCTTCCTGCAGGTTTAACTGTGATTAGGAGAGATACCAATAACAATAATAATTATCATTAAAAACAAACACCCCCAGAACATCCCAGACAACAAAAGACAGCAGAAAATAACCAGGCATTCCTAGAGCCGCAGATTTTTGGTCCCTTGCTTTTCTAGACAATTTTAATACTCTTCACTAGAGGGAGGGAGGGAGGGAGGGAGGCTGGAGGAAAAGCAGATAAGGCTCCAAGGCAAAACAGCAGGTGGGGGCCTCTGGGAGGGGGTGCAGGTGAATATTTGGGGGTTCCTGGAGCAGGTGTGTCATTGTATTGGTTTTGGAGCGAGTAGCCCCTGTGAACTTGGGAGGCCATTCTGCTGGGGAGTCCCCCCGCCTCGCCCATCCCCAGAGGTGGGGGTGGGGGCACCCCCTATGCCCCAGGCCTCTGAGGGCCTTGCATTTTTCTCTACTGTAAACGTAGCAAGCTATGTATCTGAATCTCTATGTACCCGTCTGTAGGATGTGAATATGTATAGCTATGTAGCGCTCCGCAGAGCCATGTAGATAGCAGTTTCACATGCGTGCGTGCGTGCGTGCGTGAGTGTGTGTACGTGTGTGTGTGCCATCTCGTTTTAACCCCAGGACACCAGGTCACCTTACATCCAGCAATCGGTATGGCCCACAGGCCGGGCGCTGCAGAGTGTGGGGAAAACGGGGGGACTAAGCACCCCTCTCTCCCCATTCCCCCCCCCCCCCCCCCCCCCCCCCGTCCCCATCCCTGGGCACAAATCCTGACCCAGCCCGACCTCTTACCACATGGAGGCAGAAGCTTCTGGTGAGCCTCTCGCTTCCCAGGGGTCTCAGGCACACCCCTTCACCTCCGGGGACACCTCCGGGGTCCCTGGTGGTCCAGCTCCACAGTGGGAGGCGAGGCGCGGATCCTTTTACTGAGTCTGTTCTGTGCCAAGCACTGGTCTCGCACTTTATACCCGTGAGCCCCTCCCGACTCACGCACCGTGAGGCAGGGACCCCCACGGGTCTCCCATTTCACAGATGAGGTGAACGGGTTCGAGTCTCCAGAATCCCGTGAAGGAAGGAGTGGCCACAAGTTCAGACTGAGAGGGTGTGATGGGCCGAGGGTTAACAGTGCAGAGCCGCGGTCCAACAGCGCGGGCGTGGGTTCGAGTCTCAGCCGGCCACTTCTTAGCTGTGTGACTTTGGGCAAGTCATCTGACCTGTGACCTCATTTGTAAAATGAGAACAACGGGGTACTGCCTCACAATGACCTATGAAGACCATATATATTATATATACATATATAATATATATACACACACATATATACATATGTATATGTATATGTGAAATGCCCAGCCCAGCTCCTGGCACACAACATAGTAGGTGCTCAATAAATCACCTTCCTTCTGCACTCAGACCACGACATGACTTCACTGGACTCTGGTGAGGACCCAGGGAGCTTTTGGTGGATGATGGCTCCAGGAGACAAAAATCTCAGGGCTCCAGAATGCGGCTGTGCCTCCTTTTTAGGGGGTGGGGGGTCAGAGGAAAGGGGTGTGGCCACTGGTGGGCTTACGCTAGAGCTAGAGAAGTGGGGAGAATGGAGGGAGAGGGAGGGGAAAGATGGGGAGTTGGCAAGGGTAGGGCACTAAGTGGGATGTTCACTGAGGCGCGCGTGGAATTGCAGGGCTTTGAGGCAGGGAAGCCACAGGCTGGTCTGGGGGCCCAGAGGTGGGATCTGGGTGGACAGGTTTGGGGTGATTAGAAAGGAAACACATATAGGATCCTGGTTGAGCCGTGATCGAGATTCGCCATTACCTAGAAGGGCAGGGGCAGGGAGGGCGGGCAGTCCTAAGAAACAAGGGCCGGCCATGCCTGGTCTGTGCAGAATGCTCCATGGTTGGCAGAATGGTGGTGCGGTGGGGTTTGGCTCTGAGCTGTCCTGGGATGGGAAGCAGGGCCATCGGCTGTGGGGCTGGAAGCATTAACCCAAGAGAGAAGGGGCAAAGGCCCTGGGGCCCTCCATCCCTTCTGATCTGGAGAAGCTGCTCAGGTACAGAGTACTCAGAGCTAGGATTTAAACCGTGCTGTGTGTGTCCCCTTCTAGAATGCAGCTCAGAGGAGACTCCAGCCCACAGCCCGGCCCGGGAGCAGGAGGAGCCAGCAGGGCCCTGGCCTAGCTGCTCTTCTCCACTCACATTTTATAAGAGACTCTGGGGGGGGGGGGGGGCTCCTTGGGAGAGGCCGGGGGCGGGTCAGGTGGGCCCTTCTGTCCCCAGCACCCCACAAGCAATTTTCAAATCTTCCACTTTTAACACAGAAAACGGCCGCATGTGCCGTGGTGTATATTTTATTTAAATAAAAAAAAATTCCAGCAAGTGCTGCCTTCTTCTAGGGGGCTGGGGAAGTGTGTGTGTGTGTGTGTGTGTGTGTGTGTGTGTGTGTGTGTGTGTGTGTGTGTGTGTGTGTGTGTGTGTGTGTGTAGATGGAGAGTTGAGGTTAATGTGTGTGTGTAGATGGAGAGTTGAGGTTAATGGGGGATCCTGGCAGTGGAGGGGTGAGGACATGAGTGTTTAAACCTGCAACGCCCCAGATGTGAAGTTAGGTGATGGGGAGTTGGGGATACCTGGAACCAAGCTGGCGGGGGAGGGGGGCGGGCGCAGAGGATGGGGGCACAGCGTGGCTTGGCTAATCTCCCACCCTCTGCCACTCTTGAATGCAGGGATCCCACAGGGTGCCCGTGGCTGGAAAAGCAGAGTCCTCCAGCTCCTGGCATCCTGGGGAGGGGAAAGTCCTCAGCAAAGGTCAGGAAACCCCGGCCAGTGTTTCCCCCATCACTGCTCACCAAGGCTGTTTCCATGGTAACTGGCCTGGGAGTCCGGTTGCTAGGGAGAGGCAGCTCAGCAGGCCCGAGCATCCCCATGGTGACTGCCCCGCTGTGGCCAGGCGGCGGTGGTGCTGCTTCCTTGGGACCTCGGTGGGCGCGCCGGCTCAGGCAAGCCCAGGCTCTGCACTGCAGGGGCGGCCTTGGACTGGAGGGCAGCCACAGCTTCTGGGTTGGGTGGGCAGAGGTGTGTGGGCAGGGGGGTAGCCTGCAGAGACAAGGTCTGGGGAACAGGTCCCGACCGCCGCTCCCTGTCTTTGTACTTTCTTTCTTGACTCCAAAGAGCAATTGTCTATTAGCTTTTCTTTTTTTTTTTTTTGCCAGTCCTAGGGCTTGAACTCAGGGCCTGAGCACTGTCCCTGAGTTTCTTTTGCTCAAAGCTAGCATTTGAGCCACAGCGTCACTTCTTCCTGCTTTTTCTGTTTATGTGGTACTGAGGAAATGAACCCAGGGCTTCATGCATGCTAGGCCAGCACTCTACCACTAAGTCACCTTCCCAGCCCCTCCTGCATATTTCAACTGCCTCACAAATCTTTAAGGTCAGAAGGAGCCTGAGTTACAGAGAGTCAATAGCTCTGGGGGCCACAGGCAGGGCAGGAACTTACCCACCCCATCAGCTAGAGGAGAGGGAGTTGGTTGCATCTTCCAGGTCTGGAAACTCAAACTCTGTCTCTTCCCGTTGGAAGCAAAGGCCAGGTGGGAGGAGCCATTGTACCCAGTGGCAGACAAGATAGGGTGTAGTGTCTGCAGAGAATTAAAAACAAAAAAGAAGGAGGAATGGTCAACAGTTTGGTTTTCCTTACAATCTCAGCTGGCAAGCTGGCGGGATGGCCTGAGTTGCTCTTCTGCTTCAGTGGGACTGAACCCTGTGAAGGATTTCAAAAGAGTTTTCTTTTCCATCTGTTGTGGGACTTGAATTCAAGGCCTGGGTGCTGTCTCTGAGCTCTTCCTCTCAAGGCTAGTGTTTTACCACTGGAACCACACAGCTCCATTTCTGGCTTTCTGGTGGTTTACTGGAGATGAGTCTCAAGGACGTTCCTGCCTGGGCTGGCTTGGAACCATGATCATCAGATCTCAGCCTCTTGATTAGCTAAGATGACAGGTGTGAGCCCCAGGCACTGGGTTAAAAGATTTTTGGGGGTGGGGGGAGTATTGGGGAATGAATTTACAGCCTGCAGCTTATTGGGCAGGTGCTCTACCACTTGAGCCATGGCTCCAAGCCCTCAGAAGAAAAAGAATCCCTTTCCTGGTATCCACTTCTCTTGCCAGCCACTGCCCCTTGCTCATCTCCCCCATCTCCCCTGCCATCCCCAGAAGTTACTATTCCTCCTTGCCAATCTGGCTTCCCTTTTTCTCCTCTAGAACAGCTCACAGTGGCAGAGCCCAGGGCTGCTGTTTCCCTGGTGTGTTAGGCAGGCCTGCCGTCCGGGCCCCCCTTGGCTTTGCTGTCTCTGACCTCTCCTCTCTATTCAACCCTAGCTTTAAGGGCTCTTCTTCCTCTCCCAAGGGTTGGTGCTCCTCGGGCCTTGAGGCCTTGATCCCTATCTTGTAACTCCCCTGGGGGATGACCTCACCCATGCCCAGGGCTGGGCCTGGAAGGGGGGGGGGGAGCTTCCCTGACTTCTCCATTTCCTCCAGGTCCCCAGATCCCCCCGCTTTCCAGGGGATCAGCCTGCTCTGATGAAGCAGGCAGGCCTCACATTCTCTGCTGCGCGGAGCAACTACTGCACATGCCCTCCAACCCTTGGCTTCCTCCATCTCCTATATTTCATATAGGCAGGAGACATAGCACATAAAAATGACATTAAAAGACATAAGCAGCCAGGTGCCACTCAGTTAAAGAAATGACATGAGGCATATCATTTTTGTTGTTTTTGGTGGTGGTGGTGGGGCTTGAACTCTGGGCCTGGGCGTTGTCCTGAGCTCTTCAGCTCATGGTGATGGCTTTACCACCTCAGCCACAGAGCCACTTCTGGTTTTCCGAGTGGTTTATTGGAGATAAGAGTCTCACGGACTTTCTTGCCCGGGCTGGCTTTGAACTGTGATCCT